AGCTTTATTTTCCCGAACGTTCGGAGAAATAGTGCCGGCCAAAAGAAAAAGTGGATAAATGCCAGCAACAAGACCCAGATCTGCATGATCACTGCAGATCCCCGTTGTTGTTGTTTTTTTTGTTTTGTTTTGTTTTTTTGAGAGGGGGGGTGGGAGGGGTTACAAATAATTTTGAAATTATGAAAATTCTGTAGGTGGACATCTAATTTCTTAATGTTTCAACTTTGCAACTGTTTTGTTGATCTTTTAGTGTCTTGATGTCTTTTATTTGTAAGGCACGTACCTATTGCATTGACATCAGTCTCAATGTCTTCCACATATTGCGTTCTTTCTAGTTCATATGGTTTGATTAAATTGTATTAAATAAAACTGAAATGTTCTTTTTACGGCGGTCACAAACTGATGACGTAGAACACGTTTTTCAGTCTTATAAATTCCGTCTTGGCTTGTACTTGTAGGTCTTGTAGGCTACTACCTTATTTGTTATTTTATACTACATTTTACTAAATGACTAAACTAATGTAACATACTTTGAGCTGGTTAAAACCGAGAGTAAGGCACTATAATTGAATGTCCTCTATTATTAGTATTATCATAATTATAGTCTTTATTCTTGACTTACAATTCAATGTTTTTATGTTCTTTTCTAGGACCTTGTTGTTGTGGGATTCTTTCAAATAATAAAATAGATCGCATTTTTTAAGTTGTTGTGTTTTGTTTCTGATGTCCTTTTTTACGGGGAACAGCTCACCCCAAGGGTGATTCTTTTTCCGATTCATATTTAGGAAAAAAAATTATGCGGGCATAAGAAATAATGAAGAAAGTAAATTTTGATAAGTCGGAAAATATGAAAGTTGCCATGGAATGGAAACAGCACCAACATGCAAAACAAACAATAATTTTAAAAAACCGAAGGTTTCTTACTCTCTAACAAAATTGCATGAAAATTGTTGGAATGGTAGATATACAGACTATAGTCAATCATACTGCTGAGCAAAATTTTGATATTTGAATGTAAAAAAATATGTGTTCCTGTACCCTGAAATTGCATCACAATAATTCATAAATTAATCATTGTGAACACAAAAAATTTTTTTTTTACACCTCTATCAAAAATCTGCTCAGTGCAAATTATAAGGAAGGAGGAACATTTTAAAGGCATTCCCAAGGGGAAAGTGTTAACTTCAAAATGGCCTCTCTTCTTGTGGGTGTGGTACATGTAGTGACGTCAGTGAATGAGATGATGATGCTGGCATTGGCAGTGATGATGGTAATGATAGTGACGAGGAGGTGATGGTGGTGGTGATGATAAAGAGAGGGTGAATGATGATGGTGGGGAGAAGAAGAAAGAAGTGGATGTGGAGGAAGGGAGAAGGAAGATGAAGAAGAGAATAGAATGACGTTGAAGAGGAGGAAATGGAAAACCTATGGGGCTGTTCAAATATAATCTTACACTTTTGGGGACTTTTTTAAAACACAAAACCCAATACCACTTTTCTCTCATTTGCCTCCAACCCCCACCTACACCAATTTAATATTAAAATTAGTAATTTTTCCGATCTTCAATTTCCATTATTATTTTAAAGATACCTGTACTATACGTGGCTTTTTTTAACTAGCTTGTAAAAAAAAATATCATTTCAGTTAATACAATTTAATCAAACCATATGGACTAAAAAGAAACGCATATATATGTGGAAGACATTGAGACTGTTGTCAATGCAATAGGTACGTGCCTTACAAATAAAAGACATCAAGACATTAAAAGATCAACAAAACAGTTGCAAAGTTACAAAGAAACATTAAGAAATTAGATATCCACCTACAGAATTTTCATCATAATTTCAAAATTATTTGTCCCCCCCCTTCAAAAAAACAAAAACAACAAAAAACAAAAAAAACAACAGGGATCTGCAGTGATCATGCAGATCTGGGTCTTGTTATTGGCATTTATCCACTTTTTCTTTCACCTTTTCTTCCCAGTCATGAGCAAAACGTTCATCTCACAAAGTGTCATATTTGGTTAACTTCCCCACCCAATCTTACACTTTTCTTACAGAGAAGCCAAAGACACCCTTTCCCCTCTGAGGTGTAAGTTTATATTTTGAACGGCCCATATAGGCCTAGATCTAATACATTGAGGCATGTCGCGTACATGAGAGGCGGAGTAGGGTCGCTTTTCGAGGATCGCCGTAAAAATAGCCTGGGACTCACTGGGAGGCTATCTTTACGGCTCGCCGTAAAAATAGCCACTGCGAAAAAAGAATCCCTCCACGCCCCCCACCCCGTTCGCCCCTTACACACACACAGACACACACATATGTGCGCACACACACACAACGGGCCACTCCATTCGCATTTATTATCAACAAATCTCGAGAACGGAAACCGTTCGGAGAAATGGCGTTCAAGTTTATTTTCCCCGAACGTTCGTCGAGGAGAAATAGAGCTGGCCTAAATAATAGGCCGGCACTATTTCTCCGAACGTTCGGGAAAATAAAGCTGGACACTATTTCTCCGAACACTCTGAAATCACATCCTTTCCCGCAAATTTAGGATATTATATTACCAAAGATTGTATACAATATGGTTCAATCGGTCCAAAAAAATGTCCGCAGTAAATGTTTCTATAAAGAAATGCTACAGTTCCAAACAGTTTTTCGCTACAGATATGACATGTTGCCTATGAAGGGTGCTGCTCTTAAACTTAATGTGTTGTGTTCACTCGTGTGCTGTCTAGATAGACTAGATCTACGGAGGGTTATTTATTGATAACGACACATATAGAACTAGCTTCTGCGTTTGTCGCAGCCGCGACCAATCAATCGTGGTTCGATTTTTTGGCATTTTTTGATCGGGGAATAAAAGTCAAATTTAACCGAAAGAAACCGAACCTCTTTACTTTTGAAAAGAAAGTTCACTTAGCATCACTTAGTCTCTTTCTCACTTATTGTCACCCCGTTGATTTATTGAATACGTTAGAGTTACTTTTATTTTTCCCTCTTTGACTCTTTGTGGTGGTTTATTTTGTTAGTGTGTAATTTTTTTTCTTGTTATTGTTCTGATGTGTTGTTTTTCTATCAATTTTTTTTTGTTGGGGAAAGGGGGAGGGGGGCATAGTGTAACGTCATTTAATTTGATGTTCCTACCTTCATTAGAGATTCTAAATATATAGATATCTATAGGCCGTCATTATTCGGACTCGAGTCCGAATAACATTTTTTCATATTCGGACTCGAGTCCAAATTTTAAAAAATCATATTTGGACTCGAGTCCGAATAAGAAAAAATGTTATTCGGACACGGGTCCGGAAAAAAAGGAAGTGTCTTCGTTCTATAGATCTAACGTTCAGTGCTTCCAATTTTCCGCCATTTTTTAGTTTTCCACACACTTTATCTGCCGATCCGATGCCCACCGCCTCATTGATACGCCCCCCCCCCCCCCCCCCCATGTTTCCCACTTTCTTTGTTGTAGAAAAGGGTAAAATTGAAGATTAGCAGATCTCCTGGCACCTACATATTATGAGCTTTGTAAAAAAAAAAAAGACCGATTCGTTCAAATACACAAGCCTGTGTCATCTCGATTGTTTACCAAGAAAAAGTTGTGTTGCTGTGTAGAGCCGAGCATACGGCAACTTTTGATTCCATAGACCAGCGCACAATTCATTACGTAGATCTACGTCAAGACTAGCTTATTATTGTAATAATGATCAGTTGCCGGGGGGGTGGGTGGGACTGACGCGTATGCGACGTTCAACGCCCGGACTGATAGCGCCCCCCCCTCCCCGACACACACACACAGCCACATGTGTGCAGGCCGCCCATCCGACCCAGACACATGCTAACGAGCCATCTTTAATTGCTTCTGATGACCTCTTGACAAATAAACATTTATTAGGAGCGCTCTAACTTTTCAGGCCGGCCTCAAATTCAACATAAAAGATAAAAACTCGGCTCCGGCACAATTTAACGCTATTTTGCCGGAAGTGATCCCGGTCTCTACCCAGCCTGAGGCGAGTCACGAGTGAGGCAGGACAGGAAGCCGGAGTCACGAGTCACAGGAAGTCGGAAGTGATGTCATGCTGGACAAGAATCAGAGTCCGATTAACATTTTTTCATATTCGGACTCGAGTCCGAATAGTCACTTCGATATATATATATACATGTATATATAGATTTATGTCTTTAAATGTTAGAGCGTACGTTCCACCAAAACCGATTACATGGACTGACACTGTGATTCCATAATTTACACATGTAATATCCTGTACTTTAAAAAAAATTTTAAGCACATTTATGGTTAAAACAGCCAATCTTCTTCGGACAGGTGGACACACGCCCTTATTTGTTAATTTTTGTGGTTGTTTATGGGCTGTTCTAATTTTGATTTCATCCTGTTGTGAAACCTTTCTTTTTCACGTTTTTACACTCATCTAAAAATCTCTAGACTAGCTCTTGAAAATTGAAATAGATATAGACCCAAAAATTTGCTCCTGTGTGTGTGTATGTGTGTGTGGGTGTGTCTGTGTGTGGTAGTAAGTGTGTAAGTGGAGAGTGAGGAGTGTGTGTGTGTTTGTTTTTCTGGCTTTATTTCAGCCTTTATTCAGTAACATGACAGTTCAAAGTATACAAAAATAGAAACACAGGATCCATTCACTCCAGGGCTCATGAGTCGTTCCTCTCTTTCAGTTTCACTCATCCATCCAATTCCCGTGTTCTCTCACACCCCACCCCCTCCCTCCAGGCACACACTAAGAAAATTTCACTCATTCCCTTGCACCCTGCGAACCATGGACAATGCAAAACACTGCCTTAGCCACATTCCTTTCGTTCGTGAGCTGTGGACCAGGCCGGGGGGGGGGGGTCGGTGTTGTCGTCTTGTAGTTGCTGTCGCCTGTGGATACACTCGTACATTCTTCCTTTCACCCGCTCTTTCACTCACACTGTCTCTCCATCCACAGCTCAGCTCGTCATGC